GTGTGCCTTGGTCCACTCACCACTGTGGATGCGTAGGTGCTCCTTCAGGTGGTGCTTGTATTTAAATGCTTTGCCACATTCAGTGCACTTGAATTTACGATTGCCTCCCGACTGTGTGATGTGTCTCTGTCGGACGAAAAGGAGAGGGGATATTCAGTACGATAGCACAACCTTTGAACTGCTAACTAATTCATCGTCACAATGTCATTAATCAATGAGGGCAAAAGTGCAATGTTTGGAAATGAGTCGCTTAAGAAACAGGAATAAGCTTCCACATAGGTTTGTATCATTTAGAATCAATTTGCTGGATAATTACTACAGCGGGACAGAAGAATTAGTAACTTAAAGCTGCACTGACTATTTAAGAAGACTGTTAAACTATACAAATCAGTCAAGCAAGGAATATTTTTCATACAAAATGATAAACATAGCAGATGTTGACTAGTTTCTCAGACTGTAGACTGTTCATACAAATGCTCAACTTTTTACTGCGATATACCGTTTCAATAGTTACTTTATCACTTATTTATGCTGTATTATTATCTAGATTTTTATTCTATTTTATCTTTATTTTTACCTTGTGTGAATCCTGTTTTTCATTCTGACACTGTTGCTGCCATAAACGCCTGAATTCCCTCAAGGGGTTAAATAAAGTTCCATCTTATCTTAATCTTGTAAAAATGTTGAAGGCTAATGTGTATACTTCATTTTCACAGTACCACAATATGTAGTATGGTCCTAAAACGGGATTCACAGAAATCATCTAACTCCATTAAGCACCTAAGTCAGAAAAAAAGCCAGTGAAGGTGTTTTATCAGTATCCAGTCCTAGCCGGTTTGTCAGTCAGTTTTTACCTGATCCCGTCCGCCCTTGTGGACCGTCATATGCCTCTCCAGCTGAGCGCGGTATGCGAAGCTGTAGCTGCACTCGGGGCAGTTGAAGCTCTCTTCGGTCTTCTCGTGCCGGTACTTGATGTGCTCCTTCAGGGAGCTGTAACGCTTGTAGCCACGCGCGCAGTACGGGCAGGTGAGCAGCTGAGAGAAGGAATCAGGAGTTCCTGGGGTGAAGAGGAAAGTGTTGTAATGACATGTGTGAGAGTAAAGGGGGGAGTAAAAGAGGGGGTTAGAACACATGGTCAATAGGGAGGGCTCTTTGATGTTACACAAGGCCTGCCACAGTCACACTCCTCTGCTAGTTCACCAATCACCGAGAGATCCTCCCCCTCAGGTAAACAGCTCCCAGGTAACCAAATGTACAAAAGCTGATTAGTGATCCATATTAACACATTCCTTTCCTTAAAGAAATAGCACGCTGGGTTGCCAATGCAGGACTGGAATTAATTATAGCTTTTACACGCCTGGAATTCCATCCAATTAGATTGCCTATTGTTCGTTTGAAGCATGTCAAAAACACCCACTCATGTAAGGAACAGCGCGCTCGGTAAATAACAGCCGCCTGCAGAGATCCAACCTGGTTAACAGAGGGTCTCAGATGCCCGGCTCCCACACAGGTGAAGCATTATTCCGTTAACAGGTGATGTATTAAGTTCCCCTGCGGGACAGGTGAGGGCCTCGGGATGGGAATGCACACACATTATGGGCCAGGTAGCCGTGAGTCAGACCTCGCACAGACGTGACAAATTTACTCAGGTGTTGCTGTTTCGCTCCCTCAGGCCCTCCCCTCCTCCCCCCCCCTCTGTCATAGCAGGTAAAAGCCAAAAGCCCGGGAGCAATAAAGGCTCCAGTGTGCTGCACTTAACAAATAGCGGTGTGTGTAATGATGTCGGAGAGTGGCGTTAATGGGGTGGAGTTAACACCTAAGGTGAGACGGGGAGCAGGTATAGCCATCCCCAGGGGGGTGGGGGGGGGGCGTAATTACTGGGTAGGAGCAGCAATAGTGTGAGAGCTCAGTGACTGTGATCTCTCAGGTGGAAATAATGGTGTGTGTGTGTGTGTGTGTGTGTGTGTGTGTGTGTGTGTGTGTGTGTGTGTGTGTGTGTGTGTGTGTGTGTGTGTGTGTGTGTGTGTAATTTAGGGACACAACACCTTGCTTTTATGCTATAGATCCATTGAAAGCAATTACTGCATAAGGCACATGATAACATGTCTGGAAAAGGATGTGTAAACATTTTTAATTTTCTCTTGTGGCATACCATTTTCATCGTGGACGCTGGCATCAGGGGTGCCCTGGCGTTGAGGCTCGTCCTCTGGGGCCTCTGGGTAAATGACTGCCGTGTCTCCTTGCTGGAGCATCTCCTCCATTAGTGCGTCCGTGCTCCCATCATCCTCAGCGTCCGAAACACAATCCTCCTTCACTGTGAAGGGTGAAACAGACACTGATTAAAGTCGTGCTTGCAAAAAGGTATCATCGATTACCGCGTTATTTGAACATGTTTTCCCATCGATGCGCGCTCTACATATGAAACCCTAACCTCTGAACATGAAATGTGATAATCCAATAATGTCAGTGTCAATATAGCTGAAACGGATCTTACAGTCCAAGCCCTTGATCATGACATGTACACAAGCCTGGGATGAGGCATGAAAAAAACAAAAACATCCTGAATGCTCTTCACAATAGGATGAGAAAGCTAATTAGCATCAAAGGCCACAGGCTACTGTACGTGCACCCAGCTCTTTGTAAGAACTGAATGGTAAGCCTCTATTCACAATGTTAGGTAAGGTACTTGTTGCGATCGACACTGATAATGAGATGATGAATCTTGTCCTGTTGTATTGCAGCAGATAGATGTTAGGCAGGAAGGGATACACACACACACACACACACACACACACACACACACACACACACACACACACACACACACACACACACACACACACACACACACACACACACA